TCGTACCTAACAAAGAGGAGGAGAGAGAGAGAGAGAGAGGGAGGGAGAATAGTTTAATTACATGTCAGTATCAATTGCTTCTGCAATGCTTTTAAAGTAGAATAAATTGCTGGGGAATGAATGGGACATAAGAAAAGATAGATGGTGGACAAGGGGACAAGCGATATTATAAATTAGTCAAATAGGCCAAATTCCGTTACTTTTATTTTATTTTTTATATTGATGATAAGAAATCGATAAATTTTAATTTAAGTTTTAAATTTATCATTGATAGGTTATTTTGAAGAAGTCAAAGTGTAATTTTTATTTTCAACAATTTAATTAATCGATGAAATTATTTCACTGATTTGATTATATTTTTAAATGAAATGTAATTTTAGGAATTATACGATGAATTAGTGATATTAAATGGAACCAAAATTTGTTAAAGATATCTTTTAAACAATTTAATTTTCATTTATCCATTGATTAAAATGTTTGTGAAAATAAAAATAGCCATTCATTAAAGCTAATATGATACATCCCCATCCATTCTTGTTCAATGACAAATCATTTGACAATAGTTTTATATGTCAAAAGATTGTAATGTGACACATTGATGACAATGTATACAAAAGATAAAAGATCTGAATCAAATAATATAAACAATAATGAGGTGATTGATAAGAAAAAAAGAAAAAAAATGATAAGTGAATTGTTGATAAATGTGACATATAAATAAAGTATTAGATATTTGAATTTCATTGGAACAGTTGGTCATAATAACAAATCTAAGAGAAAAACGGAACAAATGGAGGAAATAGTAGAGAATGGGGAAAAGCTTTCGTTTGCTTCTACTTAAATGAACATTATTAAAAGGTGCTGGATGTAGGAGACAAGAGGACGGGATAGGATAAAAATTAGGTGACAAATTAATTGGATTACGAACGCAGAATATATCCCAGTCAATCTCATTATCATTATCGCCTCGGGTAATGATCATTAATGCATTGTCGGGAAGTCTCAAATTTCAATGTCTCAATTTAATTCTCAGTATAATATTGTGTGACATATTATTTAAGGTTTGAATTAAATTTTAATTCTCAGTATAATATTGTGTGACATATTATTTAAGGTTTGAATTAAATAAATTGAGGTTAACTGAAAGCCGTTGGTTGCATTTTAAATTTCCTCACTTTAGTAAATTAAAAATAAAGCAGTCCATTTCTTCTTCTCCATTGGCAGTTAATTTAAGTTATACTTAGAAATGTGAAATAAATTTCATTTTAAATTGATTTTTGTTATAAAATTTTGGATGAAATTACTAAAATATAATTGGAAGTTTTTAGTTTTCAGTTTAAAAAATCCCAACTTTTTCCAATTCTTTTTTCATTCATTCAAATTTTTCTCTAAAATTTGAAATGAGTTTTATAAAATTAGGAATTTCAATATACACAATTCCATCCAACTTTAACTTATCGTTTAGATTAGACAAAGGTCATAAACTATTAAATTTATAAAAGCTATTCTCTTTAATAGGCTTAAAAATGTCTTTTTTTTTCTGCTCAGTCTAATGAATATTTTTTGTTTGGAACCTTTTTTTATCCAATTCGACATTTATTCATTTTCATAACTTGTTAGGTACCATTCATTACTATAAATTATAATTAAGAAACATATCGGTTATCATGCGAGAAAAAGGTCAACTGCGTGCTGCCAATTACGAAACATTAAATTTTGATAATCAAAATTCACACTTTATGGATTAATAACTTGATTAAAAACAAACTCAATAAAGTTTATTTTTATTGTTTTTATTCAATGTTATCAAAAATTACGGTTGTAAAATTTATTGAGTAAAAATTTTTATTCTTTCAAACAATCATTACTAAAAGTACTTCCTGATATAATGTTATACTGATAACACTGATAACACTGATAATACATTATATTTAGCATCATTTTAGATGCTACAATTATTGAAAAAATATTTTTGTCCTTTTTTTCCTTTTTTAATAACAAAATGACCAAATGGTTGTGAAAATGGAAATTACTTTATGATTTATTCCCAAGGAAATTGTCAACTTTTTGTGACAATCAATTATTATTTTAATGGAAGTAAATAATTCACTTTTCATACGATAAACAATATTTTTGCACCAACCAATTCATAGGGGAGAAAATATAAAATGGCCAAACCAATCGATCAATGGCCAATGATAATTTCATGCCTTGGCCAGTTTAAACAACTTTTAGTATCTAACATTAACAAATTTTGTGTTAATAAATAATCAAACGAATGATTTAATCTTTTTTTGATAAACTATTTCATAAAAAAAAGATTGTCGAAGTTGACACTAAAAAGAGTTGACCCTAAAAAGAGTAAAAATGAAATATCAATGATTGTCTCTTTATTGAAAAAATGAAACCGTTTGGATAACATTTTTGATATTACAATATAAAGTAATACATATATTTCAATATACTGGGAATGATTTAATTAATTAATCAAGATTAAATTTGAATTTGAATTACCATTCGTATTTTAATACACTGGGAAAGATTTAATTAATTAGTTAAAACTAGATTTTAATTTCAATTATCATTTCTCTTTTAATACACTTGGAACGACCTAATTATTTAGTCATAATTAGATCTGAATATGAATTATCATTTTTTTAATTGGTTAGTTAAAGTTTAGACTTGAATAATTTATAGATGAATTAACTTTTATGGGAACTTATTGCGAACTGATAATTTGAGCATTTTAAATTCAGTACTGGAAATTGAAATTGAAAAGAATCTGAGTGGTAAAGGTATTTATTAAGTAAAGCTAAAGAAAAGGAATATTGGTTTAAAGAAGGATTAATTCATTTAAGAAGTCTCTTTCTCCATTTTATCAAATAGTTTTTTTTTCAAAATTTTAATTTTCACTCTACTTACTACTATTTTCTTTGCTAATTTAATCTTAGCATCTTTCCCTCATTCTTTCCATTTCTTTATTCTTATCTAAAATTTTAATTAGCTTATCGTAAATGAAAGGTATTTGGAGTTTAAGAATTACTTTAATATCAATGAAATTACTATGATATGGTTCAGTTTAATTAGTGAGTTTAATGAGTTTAATTAACTTTAAGCTTAGTTCTTCGCATTTAATTTTATAATTGCTCGCTTACTGAAATGAAAAACTTTGTAAAATATCATGAAATCTCAATTAATTAATTTACAATTTATACTTTTAACTGAATTATTTCACTAACAGATGACACGTATTTGAAGATGACAGGTAATATTTCCTAAGTTAATTTCCTATGTTTGTGACAATAGCCAACGACAATTCGATATCATGAGAAGTTTGCCTCAGATTGTCGTTTAATGAGTAACTAATTATCATTTTATGTGTTAATTAACTCTGAGATAACCTTACATAGTCATCCATGGTCATGAAATGATAGTTTTATGACATAAAAAATGTGATATCGTAAAAAATGATAAAAAAATGATAACTTTCCAGTGGAATAGTCAAAAAAATGATGAAAATTAAATTGAAAAATGATAAATATTTAAAGAATACAATTTAAACGAATAACATTTTGAATGCTAATTTTGTGTTTCTAAGCCATTTATCAGATAAACTCGATTGTTATCAGTAATCAATTGAAATGTGAAAGAGAGACAGAAAACAGTTTGTAGAACTTTCCAGTAGAACAGTTAAGGAAATGATGAAAATAAAATTCTCACAAATGATTGTTCACTTTTTCATTTAATAAATTAATATAACTTCTTAGCAATTTTTATAGCTTCATTTCAATAACACAAATAGTAAAGGTCATAGTTCAACAATTCATTTGCAAAATTATTGTTGCCAATTGTATACTGGTTTATTTTATCTTACATTACTAATGATATGCAAAATAAGATGGCATCTGTTATTATCCTGTATATTACTTTATTAAATTTGTATTGGAATTTTGCTGTGGCATAAATGTAATGATAAGCAGTGATAAACTAACTCCGAAAAAGTTTCACAGCTTTATCATAAAGATAATCAAAAGATATCAGTCTTTAAACATGACTAATGATTACAGTATTGCTGTAAAATCTGTTCGTATCCAAAAATGGTTGGGTATGATTGTGAAAGTAACTATTCACAATTAATTGTCACCTTTCTTTTTGTCCTCAATTTCAGGATCTAAATAATGCTCATTAAATACGTCCATTTGTATTCAGGAATTATGAAATTTTAAGAAATTACAGTATGGAAATTCATATTGGAATATTTCGTATTTCAGTGAGAAATGAATAATTTAAAAGATTGAAAATTTATCTAAATAAATGCAACAAATATTTTGTTTTCATATTTGTAAGAGAGACGAAATCACAACAAATTGTTTATTTCATTTAACAATTTCAAACCAATTTCAATCAGATATTTATTTCAAATATTTATTTTTTCATTATTATATATTAAGCTATACTGTTAAAAAATATGAAATGATGAAAAGAAAAGTGTCATATCAGTAATGATCAAACAATTAAGGATGAAACATTTTCATTTTTATTTCAAATATTGAAATAAGTATTGTGATGATTTAACCAATCACAAATATATTGGATCATCATAGGATTGTATGGTGACACTTAAGCTACCAATTGATTGATTTTCAGCGATAATATCATATTCCAAAGATTGCGTATCATTATCAACATTTCCCATAATATGTACTACACCCAAAGTTCGATCATGAATTATTCGATTTTCCATTAATTCTATTACAAACTTATAAGTCATATCTCTCCTAAAATGCAAGATATGTTTATTTAAATTATCAGTATAATATCATAACACCGAAAAATTATCAGTATAATATCATGACATAACATGTTTATTTAAATTATCAGTATAATATCATAACATTTGATATAAGTGTTTGAAATTTCAAACAGCTCCTATTGATCATTAACAGCAAACTAATAATGATAACAGGATCATGAGACTTCTCTTGTACCAGTAGCTATGTATAGTTGTTATCATTTAATTGTCCAATTAATATACAAACTTTCTTCTGCTGTAGAAAAAGAAAAATCATTTTCAAGTTATAAATTTAATTTAAAATATGAATGGATGATGTTGAAAATCAAACCTATAAAAAATGAAGCATTGATTCCAGAAAGCTTTAGTACCTTCAACTATTCTCGTTCGTACCGATTCCTTATCACAACTGATAACAACATATGTGCGTATTGCTACAAATAATAATTAAGTTATTTGATACATCTTTCATATATTGTTGTAAATTTGCGAGCAGAAAATGTTATGATTTAATGATAAAAGCGCCATGTGATGACAAATAGTATTCGAAAATTAGCAAAAAAAAAAAGAAGGAAATCATATAATGAAACAAGAAATATGCAAATTTTTAGATAAATCTTAAGCTCAATAAATCAACAAATTGAATTTAAATAATTTAAGTCTTGGTTATTTAATAAAAATTGAAATATTCTCCCCAATTTAAAAACTAATTAATTTTTGATTGTATTCAAAAAGTTAACAAGCAAACCTCCTTCATTTATGTTATTTAATTCCACACCAATGACAGTAATTCGAGTAATAGAGTTCACTTTTTTACAAGAAAACAATCCTCGGTGATTGGGTGTATTTTTTTTGAGTGCTCGAGGAGCGATATTTCGTTCCGAATAAATTCGAAGCAAAAATTCAGCAAATTCGAGGGGTGCAAATGTTGTTGGTAAGAGAATGTAACGGCCTTGTCGTAAATTTTGACAGTGTAAATAAGCTGAACGACCATTGTTATAATCTGATGTTATCACCGGATTTATTGGCTGAAAGCAAATTCATCTTCCATGAAATTGATTTATCCTTTCCAAATAATTTAAGCATTCTTACATTTCAAACTATTGAATAATCTTATAATCACTTTTTTGAAAAAGTTAAATGAAATGAATTTTCAATAACAATCATCTTGAAGTTGTTTTAACAACAAACATTTGATATATTTTGCAAAAGAAAAATACATTTAATTATTCCCTGAAAATTTTTTTCAACTTTAACGCACAGGTAATTTATACTAATAACAAACCTGATGTATCCTGTATATTCGATTATCTTCTACTTTCATTAAATGCATCCCGATGGTTACCAAAGGTTCACGGTGTTTCTCACCTTCATTCTTTACTTTTTGTGTTAATGCAAATCGTACCTCAGAATCGTCAACATCAATATCAAATCGATACTGAAATGTAGCAGTATTAATCAAACTTATTATCTCAATGTATTATGATACTTATCAATAATTTGAAATCATTTTATCAATCTGAAATGAATTCATGAATAATGGAGTGGAAAACAAGAAAGGATTTTCTTTTGCACATTATTAGATGAATAAAAAAAAAAAGGAAAAATTGTTTTATGAAAGCATTGTTTTAACTCATATTAAAAATTAAAATCAATATTGAAATTAAGTTCATATTAATAAAAAAAAAGAAAGAAATCAATTCAGTAACTCAAACGTAGTACTTCTTCGAAGCAATGAAGCACCTCTAAGATGAATTAAATTTAAATGATTCATTTGAAATAAAAGTATATAAATCTCCATTAATTGCTAAACTATTGGTAGCTTCATATTGCATATTTGATTAAATAAAATATATTCATACATTTGTTAGTCATCATTTATTGCAACAAAAATTAGATGTCAAACTATCGTCATCCTTTTTATTCCATTAAAAATTTTCACTATCATCAGTATTATCAGGTCTTTCTTTAAATTTTACAAAAGATTTTTGAAGAAATTTTATTTCTATGATTAATAGATGAAATATCAAAACCTGTGGATTACAACAAAATGTTGCCATAAAATTGATACATCCACCAGCTCGATCATTTAATGCACCTTGTCTAGCATTATTTGATTTCCATTCATCAAAAAATTTCCATTCATAAAATTTCGGACCAAAATTGAATAATGAGGTATTGAAAAGTTGACAGACACTGAGATCCGTAAAATAACGGATAAATTCATTCCATGGCATCCTACAAATTTCGTACATTCGATATATACTGTATCATCTACATGCATTTAAATCCCGATAGATTACTGTATATAATCAATAAACTGGCAATAGTAATAGTGAAGTTAAAAGTTTCAAACAAATTATGAATAGTTTGTCGAAAATTTATTTTTGCTTAATAAACACTTTAATGGCTTATCATAATCATCAAATAATTAAAGAAATAGCAGAAATGAGTACCAAAAATCGCCATCCTCTTCAACGGTAATACCGAGTTCCAACTTATGTTCATCTGTTACCTGAAAAAGAAAAAAAAAATCCTTTCCATTTTTATATAATACAAGAATTTTCTTGAGGAGAAAAAAATCAAACCTGCTCTTATTTAAAATTAAATAATTCAAAAAATTTTACAAAGAAAATCTTTTCTGAATTTATCCTATCATTATGACATTAATTTAAGTGACACTTAGGCGACATTCAGGCAAGGAGTGAGATTTATCTAACTTGAAAAATATCAAGAAGATAAGTTATTAAAAATCAATGAATTAATCATTAATCATTAATCAATTAATCATTGATCAAGTAAATTGGAGAAAAAAAAATGGTCAATATTCAATATATTGCACAGTTAAAGGTAATTTATTAATTTCCATAAAGAGATTCAAATTATACAATGACGTAGCAATAATATGCTAAATCTTCAATGGTTAGCATTTGAGTGTAAAAAGACTAAAAGATAATGAAAAGAAATTTACCGCCAAAATTTATCATTAAAGCATAAAATACTAGAAGATATTGGAAAAGAATCTTACCTGTTCCCATTCTTTTGATCCATCTGACCATGGTCCATTCCATTCTTTTTCACCCCATGGATTCTGTAAACGTATCATCATCTGACGTCTTGCTGTAGTGAAAAATAAGAATGAACGATTTTTGGTATTCAATTCGATGAAACGTACTGCAGTAACTGCATATGCATGACCTTTTACTAGACCACATTCCAGTGTTTCTTCAATTTCTTCCTTATTTTTAGCCTTAAAAAAGAAAAAAAAATCTTAAAAACTTTCAATAGTTTGAAATATTAAATTTAAAGCCTTTTTGAAATAACCTTAGATAGAAAGGAGTTAAATTAAAATTAAAATATACAATGATTTTATCAATGGTATAAGTTTAAACATATTGAAGTAAATTTCTAATTAATTCGTATATTTGAGCTAATGTAAAAATAAGCATACACGTGCTAAATTTAGGAATTCAAATTGATAAATTTAATTGAAACCAGTTTGTGTTAAATTTTTTTTTTTTTTGTACAAAAAGAGGTGACAGTATCAGCTATACAGTTATTATCATACATTGAGCGTACAGCGATTGCAGCAATGATAAGCGCTTGTTGATCAAAAGCTTCTTTAATTGTATGAAACAATTTTCCTGATGAATCACTCGGATCGTTTATTAATTGTTTTTGAACATTAATTGTTTCAGTTACACCACCTGAGATATCTTCCAATGCATCAGCTAATTGACCACCAACTAAATTCTCATAACAACCGTACAATCTGAAATATTAAAATTTTCATTTCATTATAAAGTTTATTTTTATATTAGCAAAGGGTAAAGTTCAAATTTTTGATCATAGATTAGGTAGGAATGCATGAATTTTGTTCTGTTATTGAAAAAAGGAAAAAAAGCTAACATTACATTGCTATAATGAGATCAAATATTAAAGAATTTTTGAAAAGATTTCATGAAGAGGTCATAAATGGTGGTAAAATTTTAAGAAATAATTAATGAATATTGTAAAAAGTTATATTAAAAATATTCATTTCAAAATATTTCAAATTTTAGCTATCATAAGATTATCACAAATATAAGATTATCATAAGATTATCATAATCATAAGATTATCACAAATATAAGATTATCATAAGATTATCATAATCATAAGATTATCACAAATATAAGATTATCATAATCATTATCATCGTTTATTGAAAATATATAATATTTCAAATTTCATCATAATCATTGTAAATTATTGCTGGGAAAAAACAGTTGCAACAAAGAATTATTATCAATAAATCAAATTTTGAATAGCTCAAAAATTATTACAACAAATACAAATTTT